TAAAGAATAACAGCCGCACTCAGAAACGGTCCTTAAATTAGCTCTAACGGGCACTTAACTAATGATCGTTAAATCAGTTAATTAATGTTTCCTCTCAGAGTAAAAAATTATAAAATGAGAAATTTAAGTATGGCCCCAGCTGCGGCCCTTCCTTTTTGTGGCATCACTCACTTTTTTCGTTCAGTTTGAAATAAAATATAGAAATAAGTATTTATATAATTTTGCGCGCACTGGCTCAACAGACCGGCTGAGTGAGCAGAGCACTCGAGAGGTCCGAGTTCGAATCCTAGGGCAGAAAAATATTCTTTTTCCTTTTTTATTTATTTTTTTTCTTGTTAATTTTTATAAATTATCTGTATTGAATTTGTTTGCTTTTTTGATCTAATTTTCTTTTGATTTATAGATTTTATTGCCTTTAAATGGAAAAAAAAAATTTAATTTAGTTAAATCGTTTGCTAAAAGGCAAGCAAGACCAATAACAGGCCAATTCTGGTATCTGTCTTTCAACTCACCTCAGTCTTTTTAGAGCCAAAAGTCTTTATATTTCGGCAACTATCTTGAAAGCCGTTTTCTGTATTTCGAATAACTAATTGAAAGATGTGCTAAGAATGTTATTATATTTATCGTTTAGCAATAAGTTTTCTAAAAACTAAACGAAATGAAAAAAATATTTCTTTAAAACAGGAACAACTAAAAATTTGAAAAACTGAAAGTGAAAGAAAATCAAATGAATCAAAAAAGTTTCCAAACGTTAAATAAGATAAAAAATATGAATTATTTTAGCATTAAAACTTACAAAAAATTGTGTTAAAAAAAATCGTTGCCGAGGATTGAACTCGGATCCCTTGAATGGTACGAAAGTGCTCTGCTCACTGGACCATTGCCACTGTTACAGCAACGTTATCGAAATTGAAATTTATTGAAAACGAACAAAAAATTTCAAAATCATTCGTTAAAAAGTTAAGTAAAGGTTTTTGTTTACTTAACTTTAACGTTCATTAAATGCCGTTAACGAATCATTAACTGATTCTGAGAGGGAATTTTTTCAAATCGTTACTGAGGGACACCTTAAATAATCATTAAACGACTCTGAGTGCGGCTGTAAGGTATCTTACTCTCCCAAAGAGAGAAACTTACTAAGTTTTGCGCGAACAGGAATTAGCAAACATTTGCAAGCTTCACTGTCAGCTGGCGTCCACGGTTGCATTGCGAACATAATACATTTTTAAAACTATTTCAGGTGAAAAACAAAAGAGGAGCTATACGTATATTTCTTCATATTCTGACTTTCTTCAACATACGCTTCAATTTCTTTGTGGAAGTCACTGTCGGATTTCCTATATCGACAGTGGTGTCGACTGCGTTGCGATTACGAATACAGCTTTTTCAGCCGAGTACCTTTAAAATGTTTGGAATTAATTAAATTAATTGTATAAACACATATTTACATACATTCTTCTTTCATTAGTAAATCGCAACAATATTGTTAATTTTTAAATTTTAACGAAGTTGTTGATTCAAATTGATGTTGACAAAAATGCAACCGTGTGCCACAATCCTGCTGGCAAAAATTTTCCTAGCACGAATGTGCAGCTTCCCCTCCAAATGATATGCAAAATTGTACTCTCTCCATGCATGTTTTACTGGGTTTTTGGCCAAACGAACACGATTTGGTAACAATTGAAACCAACTTGTACACGTTTTTTGCATAGCGAACACTCTTAGGGCAAATTTCACAGTGCCTATTTAATCAGAAAATCGTATTCGTCTTTTAGCTTCTTTCAGCTTCGTTCCTTTTTGAAATAATTAAACTCTCGCGTTTTTATACCCGAGCGCACTTGTGCACAAGTGTATTATAACTTTGTTCACATAACGGTTGTTTGTAACAGGCAAAACGAATCGAGATAGATATAGACAAATGTATACATAAATGATCAGAATGAAAAGAGAAATCGATTAAGCGGTGACTGTCTGTCCGTCCGTCCGTCCGTCCGTCCGTCTGTGCACACGATAACTCGAGTAAAAATTGAGATATCTTAACGAAACTTGGTAAGTGAACTTCTTTTGGGCGTGGGACGGATGGTATTGAAAATGGGCGAAATCGGATAATAACCACGCCTACCTCCCATATAACGGTAAGTTTAAGAAATACGAAAACTGCGATATTTTAGTAACGACTGAAGATAATTCACTCAAAATTGATACTTACAATGAGTTTCAGACGGAAAACATTAATATTATAAATTTTTGGAAAATGGGCGTAGCCACGCCCACTTATGGTTACATGTGTATATCTTGGTAACCGCTGCACCAATTTCTTCCAAACTTGGCACAGTTGTTGACCTTAGTACAGCATACTAAATGGCTGAAAATTTAAAAAATCGGACAATAACCACGCCTACCTCCCATATAACGGTAATTTTCAGAAAAACGAAAACTGCGATATTTTAGTAACTACTGAAGGTAATTCACTCAAAATTGATATTTGCAATGAGTTTTAGACGAAAAATAAGAATATTACAAAATTTTGGCAAATGGGCGTAGCCACGCCCACTTATGGTTACATGTGTATATCTTGGTAACCGCTACACCAATTTCTTCCAAACTTGGCACAGTTCTTGCTCCTGGTACAGCATACCAACTGGCCGAAAATTTCTAAAATCGGACAATAACCACGCCCACATCCCATATAACGGTAATTTCGAGAAATACAAAATCTTCGATAAATCAGTAAATATTGAAGCTAATTTATTCAAAATTGATGATTGCAACAATTCTTTACCAAGAAATACGTTTATGACAAAATTTTGGAAAATGGGCGTAGCACCGCCCACTTGTGATCACATATATGTATCTCGCTAACCGTTCTAGCAATTTGTACCAAGCTCGGTATGGTTATTGTGCTTGCCACATAAAATCAAACCGATGAAAATTGTTGAAATCGGACTAAAATTGAGGCCGCTCTTTTCATATAACGGTAAATTTCAGATATGCTTGAAATTTCAATATTTCGAAATTTAAGGACGCTAATTTACTTAAAATGTATACACCCCGGCTTAGCATGTAGCGGTAGCTTTCGGAAAGGTGGAAAACTTATATTTAATACTTGCGCCGGGTATTTAATGTTCGGCTCCGCCCGAACTTAGACTTTCTTACTTGTTTTACATAATTTTTATTTTCTGAGCCTATTTGAGTTAGAAAGAATATAAATTTTGATTATGGGGCAATAGCATGTTGAATATTTAACTTACAATGGGCGGGTTCATAAGACGTAGCTGTTTAGCTCATCTGCTAGGAAACTGTTGTCAACTGTTGAACCTAACAATTAAGTCTTAGAAACGGCTTGATGAATATGCTGCCAAATGAACACTGATAAATGTTAACAAACGAAATTGCAATAAATAGAGATAGTTGAGCCGATAGTATTCAGAATTTAAAGCTGAGCTGCCGCCGTGTTGAAAAAATCGTTCAATGTTGTAATAAATTAAACAGTGTATAATTATATAGCAAACATCTTAAAAATATTTATATTTAGAAACGTAGTATTATTATAAAATATTTTAATGACTATCACATCAGTAATATAAAGTAGAATAAATTCATTTGCAACTGTCACTTAACAAAGCGGAGTTAAATTGAATATAAGCGGAGTAAGTCTTTTCGATTGGCTGCTTAGGCTAAGCCCAACACGTTGAGTTCAGGTAGCGTAAAAATTTTCCGCTGGAAAAAATGGCGGAAACTACTCAACTGTGCGTTTCTAAGACAGATAGCCAACGGTTAGGCAACAGCTACAGTCTTATGAACGCGCCCAATGTTGCTTTCAAATGAGTCCTATCTCTAACTAAATAAAAAATAATTTTACCCAAAAATCCAATTAGTAAAAAAACTTACGTTAGAACGAAAACACATGGATAATGAAGAGTTGGGAAACTGCTTTATTTTATTGTGATGAAGCCCGGAAATGCTCGAAAAAAATCAGGATTTCTCCCTTTTTTACACTTTTTGATATTTTGGGCATTACATTAGAAAATGCTACCGACTTTATTTTCATTAAGAGAGTTAATCACTGATTATTTTTTCGAATACTTTTTTTTATTAACTTCAAAGTAATACAAGGCAAGTGGTGGTCCTTAAATATAAACTACCCTTTAGTTTCATGTTGTGCTTTTTTAATTTTCATTAATTAAAATGTGTCTCAGGATTAAGTGAATTTTCATGTTTGGGAAATGGAGATTCGTGTTAATATTTATATTGTCTGCAGTATTGCCGCGAATCATTTTTAGTGGTAGCCAAATTCCTTTAAAAAAAAGGCTAAAAAAGAGTTAAAAATAGTTATTGTGGCTAAAAGTGGTAGCTAAAATTGTTTACTTACATATACATATATAAGTATACACGCAATCATTTTCAATAAGTAATGATATAGAAAAACAATGAACTTTGGAAAAAAAGCTAATATTTTATCCAACCAAAAATCTTTTTGTATAAAAGGGGAAATATACGACACCAGATTGCTGGCTCCATCAAGTGATTCTACCAACAGCCTCGAAGCATATAACTTACCAGCATGCTGATACAATATTTATATCTTTAGAGATGAGGTAGAGAAAAGGTCGAAATGATAAGAGCCGAAATTTCATAATTTTTCTACCATTTTGTTAAACTTTTTTTTTCAATTCACAACTGCAATATCGTAAACTTAATCTTCCACAAACGCGGCTTTTTTTATTTATTTATTTAGCCAATGAATACAAAAAATTATTCTTACAGACTTACAAGAAAGTTACCAAATTAATCTAAAATGGAAAACTAGGAAAAAGCAAACATTCGCTTCTACAGACTGAAAAATCAGAACTTAAGAGCTTTCAATACAATAGAGATCTCAAAATTGTAATCATTGTAATAGGTACAATTAGCATTCATTAAATTAGTTATACATAGGTCTAAGAACTAGAGTTCATTACAGACTATGGCTAAGCGAGGACTGCTTAACCAATCAGACACCCAAAATTCTGTAAATTCTATAAAGTTAGCATTCCATTGAACTGTATTTGAATTCCTGATCATGTACATATTTGCACTACTATTTGAAATCTACTCATTAGTTGTACTTAGTTATTTGTATGTGTATTAAAATTACATGCTTATTGTACACACGCATTCATACATCATTATATCCATTTATTTGTATAACGTACTTAGCTTAAAATCGCTATTTGAATTATTGAATTATTGCACTTAATATTTTTGAAGTCTAAAACTCCCCTAATGTTTAAACCACTTTAAGTAGCGATATAAGTAGTTGGTAACACTGATGCCGATAAGGCAGGCCCCCTTTGACAGCGCACGAAAGGGAATAAGAAGGAATGACATTTGGTTGTCAGAATCAGAATTTTTTCCACACTCGTGCCGCCCAGCCGCAATTCGTGAATTTTTATAAAAAAAAACCCCAATTTGTATCCCGCGCAATCGGTAGCTAAACACTGGTCCTTCGTCGCCTTGAAAGAGCCAGCACCGTTGGAATTCAGAACCCAAATAAAAAGTATCCCTAAAAAACCGTAAGTAAGAATCTGAATTGCTTACTAACCCCATTTCACCAAAAAAACAGCCTAAAAACTAGCCAAATCGCGCATACATTTTGATCCTCTAAAGAAAAATCTTATAAGTTTAATAAAAACGGTGCTCGCATCCCGTTATAGAAAATTTCTTTACACATATACATATGTACATTTCTTTTCCTCGATTCCCGTAATTCTGCGACCGTATTGGTTTTTTAACAAGTTCATTTCTTCGAGTAAATAAATCCCGAAACGGTTCGCATATACCACTGTACATACAAGAACATTTGCATATAGTACATACGTACATATGTACATACATACGCGGTAAATACATACTGTAAGACAGTAAAAATAAAAGCTGTAAAACTAAATTCTCTCCCAATTAAGCGAGCCCCTGTATGATTTAAAACCCATTTGTGCATAATTTACTCACATCCATTTTTATAACATATATCTCCTTTTTAGTTTGCACAACAAAATATTAAAGTGAAACAGGTGCTTCGTGTATGCAAACATACATACACACATACATTTGTATGTACAATACATAGCTCACGTATAAGCACACATTCATATAATTAAATACAGTGGCACAAACTCGTGTTATGATCTCAATTTATAATCTCACACTGAAATAACGTACAGTGGCTTTCTACTTTACAAAAAAAGAAAGTTCGTCTCTGAAATATTTAGAAACGTATGCAACAAAATAAAAGCTGAGAATAAAAATTACTTGCATATTATCCCTATGCTCCATGTTTAAGCAAATCTCCGTGTAAACATACATATATACACAAACATATTGTAAACTATCTCTACTAACACATAATTACATTTTCCCAACAACACATATATACATTTAATACATTATATAATATAAAGTGCTATTAAGATAAAGGCTAATTCGGCACACATACACATAGTTATACGGTGCAGTGCGGGTACAGTGAAACGGTCCCCTTATATCCCTCAATAGACCCACAAACAAAAAATAAAAATAAATACAATAAAATAAAACTTCTCCAGCGATTTTATCAGTAGCACGTATCAAAGTGCAAACACCCTTTTTTTTATATATCGTGGCATTCGCACTTACGTAATTGCCTTTCATTGCGTTAATTTAGCAAGAATAATCACAAATATATATACATATATATATATATAGCGAAACCCTCCATTTACGTTCGGTCACAAGAACTCGAGTTTAGACCGGCAGTAGATTTTTTTTTGTCTCTTCTCTCTTTGATCTCCGTCTCGTAAATAAAATTTAAAGTCATCTCGTTAATGCTTGCCGCACCTCATAGTGACGCTAAATCGAAAAGTCCAAAAATGAGTGATGATGAGAAGCAACAAGGAACTTCCGCTGAATCTCAACGCGCTACGCGTGCAGGCGGAAGGTCCAATAAGAAACCCAAACAGTCAGTCGTAGCCCCTAAATTTATCTCTGAGACAGACAATTTAATGGATTACTGTACCCGATTCAGTACAACTCAAATCCAAGACAATACTGAGTCTGCACTAAAAATTAAAGACAAGAACATTGATAATTTTTGGAATCGAGTACAGAGCGCATATGATTTAGTAATAGAGACTGAGGAGCAGGACCTTCCCGAGGACTTCAAAGCCTCCGCTTATAATAAATACAGGTCATGCCTCATAACGTATGAAAATACGAAAGCCCAGATTGGTGATCAACTCCTGCTTCTTAATCAAGTCAGCAATACTACGCCTACTCCCAGTATGTCTCAACCCCAGGAAAACTCTAGCTTCGGCCTAAAGGTCCCACCGTGCGATACGGAAACATTTTATGGGGGTTATGAGCAATGGCCGTCTTTTCGTGACATGTTCACGGCGGTATATATTAATCACCCAAAACTCACAAAAGCTCAGAAATTGTACCATCTCCGGTACAAGACTCAAGGCAAAGCCGGCCAAATCGTGAAACAATTCCCACTGAGCGATGATAATTTTGATCTGGCATGGGAAGCCTTACGGTCTCGCTATGAGAATAAAAGAGTATTAGTTGACAACCAAATACGTATTCTCATGAATTTAAAATCTATTCAAGTGGAGAACAGTGAAGATATTCAAAAACTCCAATCATCAGTGAATAACTGTCTCCAAATTCTCGCCACCCAACAAGTCTCCACAGAGAGCTGGGACCCCGTAATAATTTACCTCGTCACCTCAAAACTTCCTGAGAACACAGTAGCTCTGTGGGAGAAATCTCTCAGTTCCAGGAAAGACCTTCCGAACTGGTCCCAAATGAACCAGTTCCTAACCACTCGATATGAGGTGGTCGAAAGGGTTGATCAATGGCGCCCAGCCAAACCAAGACCCAATCCCCAAAATTCCATTTCATTTAGAACCACTCAACCGCACAACAGACCCCCCTTCAAAGCTTCTCACTTTCAACAGTCGCATAATAAATCATCGACGCAAGTCCAATCGCATGTGACAGAACAGCGTACGATGTATAAATGTTCCATGTGCAAAGATTCCTCGCACTCATTGTGGAACTGCCACAGGTTCCGTAAATTGTCGGTTCAGGATCGCAGAAAATTCGTAAGAGAAAACAACATGTGCTTTAACTGCCTCTCTCAGTCACACTCCCTGAAAGATTGTCCAAGTACTCAAACCTGCTCCAATCGTCGAGAAAGACACAACTCAGTGCTGCACTATAGCACAGCCCCTCCGCCAAAAAGGCAAGACTCTCGAGTACAAAGGACCACATCGCAGGTAGCCATGACTGATATGCCAAACCCCAACCTGCAAGCCCCACAAGAAACGGAAGAACAAGATGATTTACCGTCAAGTTCTAATGGAACCAGAGTACAATCGTACTACTCTGAAAATGAGAGCAAAGTCCTTCTCCCTACAGCGATAGTCTCAGTAGAACAGAGAGGAGAACTCTTTAAACTGCGAGCTCTCATCGATCAGGGCTCAGAACGGAGCTTCATTTCTTCTAAGGCCCAAAACAAACTGAGATTACCATGTCAAAGCTCGAACTTTGAAATCTCCGGCATGGGTGGGACAGTAGTTCAGACTTCGAACAAAATCTGTTCTCTTGTCTTAGTCTCCTCCGACTTTGCTACGAAAGTCACCGCTCAAGCAATTGTGCTACCCCAACTAACTAAAATACTCCCAAGATTCCAGCCAACTCGCGAACAACGCGAGAAGTGGTCTCATATTAAGCTAGCAGACCCCAATTGTCATTCCCCGTCTCAAATCGACCTAGTGATAGGCAGCGATCTCATCCCGCAAATCATGCTTGAAGGCATTGAACATATCTCAAAAAATCTGTTAGCACAAAATACCATTTTTGGCTGGATTTTGAGCGGTCAAATCCCTAATCATGTGGTATCTTTCTCCACTCAAGTGGAACAAACTACTGGAATCCCAACTACGAAAGTTCTGGGAAGTAGAAGAAGTTCCGACACCCAACCTCATGAGTCCTGAAGATAAGCTATGCGAGGAGTTATACCAATCCACTACATCGCGCACGCCTGAAGGTCGCTACGTAGTCCGGCTCCCTTTCAAGCCAGGTTTCCCGAAGGAAATATCTCTAGGTCAATCTCGCACCACAGCTCTCCAGCAATTTTTCAGTATGGAGAGAAGTCTTCAGAAAAAAGCCGACCTAAAACCCCTGTATGATAATGTCTTAGGGGAATATCTCACCCTAAATCATATGGAAGAAACAACTTCCTATGAAAAATCCTCAGAAGGAAAATATTATTCCTTCTATCTCCCCCACCACGCGGTGGTCAAACCCGAAAAGAGAACCACCAAGGTACGTGTCGTATTTAATGCATCACGAATATCAGGTTCCGGACTCTCTCTTAATGATTTTCTCTATACCGGACCAATACTTCAACCCGATCTGATGCTATTAATCCTCAAATGGCGCACGTATCAGTTTGTGTTCAATGGCGATGTAGAAAAAATGTATCGTCAGATACTTTTACATAAAGACCACCAGAATTACCAGAGAATTATATTTAGATCATCTGCAAGCAGCCCCATTCGAGACTACAGGTTAAAAACCGTGACATTCGGTGTAAATTGTGCACCATTTCTCGCAATACGCACTCTTCACCAACTCTCTGATGATGTAAAAATAACACATCCCTTGGCGGTGCCAATACTAAAAACCGAAACATATGTGGACGACATACTTTCTGGAGGTCATGACCTCATCTCAGCAACTAAATCTCTCTCCCAAGTCATTCAAGCTCTGAAATCCGCTGGCTTTCCCTTAAAAAAGATCACGGCGAACCACCCTGATTTGCTCAAAGACATAAAAAAGGAGGACTTGCTTGAGAGCAACTTTCTCGAATTCGAAAAAGCAAGTATCACCAAAACCCTCGGGATTCAATGGAATGCCATTACTGACTCCTTCTCTTACACCATTGAATCCATATCAGCCTCGTCGGCGAGCACAAAGCGACAGATTCTCTCTTCTGTCGCTAAACTGTTCGACCCCGCAGGATGGCTCTCGCCAATAATGATTCAAGCCAAAGTTCTCTTACAAGAGCTATGGCTCGATGGAACTGACTGGGATGAACAAGTCAAACCCCTCCGCCTCCATAAATGGTTGCAATTCGCCAACAATTTGAAATCTATCTCGGCCATTCAAATACCCCGATGGGTCAATTACGTTCCAGGCCAACAAATGGAGCTACATGGGTTCTGCGACGCTTCGGAAAAAGCGTATTGCGCAGCCATATATGTCCGAGCCACACAAGGTGAACAAGTCTCTTCCCACCTACTGGTGTCAAAAGGCAAAGTTGCGTCCCTCAGAACCATTAGCCTACCTCGACTCGAACTATGTGGGGCTCTCCTTCTAGCTAAATTAGCCTCAGCTGTCCAATCGCACCTCGGTTTCTCAGATCGAAAACTGACAATGTGGTCAGATTCAGAAATAGTCCTGGCCTGGCTGGAAAAACCGCCCCACTCCTGGAAAACCTACGTCTCGAACCGCACCGCGCAAATCATTGATCTGGTAGGAAATTCCACTTGGAGGCATGTGTGCAGCAGCGAAAATCCCGCGGACATGGGAACAAGAGGATGCAAACCCCTCGATTTAGCCTCCTCTTCTCTGTGGTGGCATGGGCCCAACTGGCTAACCCAACCACCCGACACCTGGCCAAAATCCGCTACCCGCTCTATTAACCCACCGGAAGTCCGTCGAGTCGACGCCTTTCACACTGCCGAAGATGATACCGACATTTTAGATCGCTTTTCGTCTTTTTCCCGCATGCTTAAAGTTATGGCATATGTCTTCAAATTTTTAGATCGCTTAAAGAACCGAAATCAAGCCGCCCAGGATCCTCTCCCATTACCCCTATCGCACAATGATTTCCGCTCTACCAAACGTCGTTTCATTGCCTTACCGCAAAACCGTTACTTCCCCCGCGAAATTGCATGCTTATCGCAGTCAGTGCCAATTGCTAAGAAAAGCCCCTTGCTAGTTCTCAACCCCCTTCTAGACAAGTGTGGGTTACTCCGGGTCAATGGTCGGTTGGCCCACTCCACTCTTAGCTATAATGAACGTCATCCCCTCATTATGCCCGAAAAATCTCGATTTGCTGTTCTCTATCTTCGTTTTCTCCACGAGCTCCTCCTACATGCCGAACTTCGGCTCATGCAGCAAATGATAAGACAGGAATTCTACATCCCCCGACTCAAGCCTCTTATAAAAAAGTGCATTTTTCATTGTAAAGCTTGCACCGCTCACAAGCATCAAACGCGCTCTCAAATCATGGCGGCGTTGCCACCAGAGCGTTGCACTTACGCTCCGCCTTTCACCGCCACCGGTGTAGATTTTGTTGGGCCTTTTCAAGTAAAAGCCTCCATGCTAAGGTCCTCCACCATTGTGAAAGGCTACGTGGCCGTATTTGTGTGTTTCACAACAAAGGCGGTTCACCTTGAGCTGTGCTCCGATTTGACCACAAACGCATTTCTCGCCGCGTTTGCCCGGTTTGTTGGGCGTCGAGGCTATCCAGCAAGAATGATGAGTGACAATGGCACAACTTTCATTGGAGCCAAAAGAGCAACAGAGAAGGAATTCTGTAGTTTCCTGCAAGAAGTATCTCAAGACATCGTCAAGCAATATTCTCCCCAAGGCATTGATTGGAGATTTATCCCCCCTGGCAGCCCTCACATGGGCGGATTATGGGAATCCGCCGTCAAAAGCTTCAAGATACATCTCAAACGAACAGCAGGAGCACACAAATTCACGTTTGAAGAATTCGCCACTCTTTTAGTTAGGATCGAAGCGGTATTAAATTCTCGGCCCATCTCCGCTCTCTCCCAAGATCCCACGGAATTCACGGCCCTCACCCCTGGCCATTTCCTAAGGGGAACTGCCCTCTTGTCTCTCCCGGAAGTAGACCATAGCAATTTGTCTCTTCTCAATAGGTGGGAGAGGGTTAAAGTTGTGCACCATCAATTCAGCCGCCGTTGGAAGGAAGATTATCTCAAAGACCTTCAGAAACGTTATAGATGGAAAGACACTAAAGTTTCACCGAAAACTGGAGAATGCGTCCTCATTATAGATGATACGTTGCCGCCCACTGAGTGGCGTCTTGGACGCATAGAAAGGACCCATCCCGGTCCAGATGGGCATATCCGTGTAGTTGACGTACGCACCAAAACCGGCATTCTCACTCGGTCTATTGTAAAGCTATGCCCGTTGCCATACGCTAATGGTCCTCCAACACCCACAGCAGATAACTAAACCAATTTTCACCGTTCATGTTGATATCTCTCGTCTTGAATGGCCGCCCTACCCGCACTGCTTCCATACATTTGTTTCCCACAATGACTTGACAGGCAATCCACCTATAAGCTTATCCCTCTGCCTTATTAACCAGTGTCTAACATCCCACTATTAAGCTATTCGCAAATCCCTATTTGCAGATGGAGATGGACAAGCCTCAGCCGGCACCACGCACTTTTGCTTCGTCGCAGGGGAAGACCGACACACCTAAGCCAGCGCCACGCCCCTCCACTTCGTCGCAGGGGAAGGTTGATACGCCTCAACCGGTGCCACGCCGTGCCTTGTCGCCGAGGGTAGTACTGCCGATGGATGGGGTTCCAATCCCGGCACCTACTCAACCTATAACTGGCGAACCATCAGCAACAGACTTTCAGAGATGTCGTCTTTGTGCGCGCTATCATGCGCTCAGAGTATGCCCAGGTTTTCGGGCCATGCACCCACAACAGAGGTTCCTCATCGCGCGAGCTCATAAGTTCTGCACAAACTGTCTCGCACTCTCCCACGCTACAAGCGCGTGCACATCAAACGGAAATTGTAGAACATGTGGCCAATATCATCACACGCTCTTACATAGAAATGACTCCAGCACCTCTGGTCGCCGGTTAAAGCCGCCTGCACGCTATCCCCCAAGACTTGCTCGGAACATTGGCTCCGCATTTACTGGGCGTCGCCAGCACAAAGCCGTGCCGCAGAACAAGCACCCAATCAAACGCACTACACCAAGAATTCGAAACATAACGCCGAAAGGAAGATTCACCAAACGGCTGGTGCATGAAGCGATGCGCACCCTGAAGGAGCTGAAAGACGCTCTAGCCGCTTAGCGCGCCTAGGGGGGGCAGGATGGCTAAGCGAGGACTGCTTAACCAGTCAGACACCCAAAATTCTGTAAATTCTATAAAGTTAGCATTCCATTG